GACAACAACGAAAAAGTAAGTAAACGTAAACAACTAATAAAATAAGCGTTACGGTTTCCGTTTCGTTAACTAACAATATAGTAATAGCTTCGGTTCGTTCCCCCCCCCCCCCCCCCCCCCCCACCTAGCCATAGTGGACAGAGCATAGATAGCCAATTTTATACCTTTGTGCTTAACAACAATACAAACAAACTTTATCGTAAATGTCAAAAGCATCATAAAATTCAACTTACCTCTCTCAAGAGAGACTAACTCTGTGGACTTACAACACTAGAAACCGAGTTTCGATACTCATGGTGAGCAGAGCACAGATAGCCCATTGTGTAGCTTTGTGCTTAATTTCAAACAAACAAACAAACAAGAGCTACCAACAAGACATAAATTGTTACATCACTCATTCCACAGCCTTCATTCTCTTATTTCACAATCACTTCAGTTACTATATAAAATTATAATGATTAGAACAGAAACAGATCAGATGTTAATGACAGTAATTATTCAGACAACATTTATATTTGCTACATGTTTTTACTAAGTATAATTTAAATATTTTATACTTCCCTATTGCTAACAATTAAAAAAAAACTTTTAACAGGATCAAATAGTTTTGATATTAGTTTGATATGTTCAATTTAACATTTATAATGAAATAAACTTGTGTGTTTATGAACAAGTTAAAGAAATAATAGTAAGTTGGAGTAACTCCTTTATTTTTACTTATTTTGTAAACATCATTAGTTATGCTGAGTTAAAAAATAGCTGTTACAGAAAGAAATATTGATCAACATTCAAACTTTTAGAGGGTAATATGGCTGATCTATTAACTAAGTTTTCTCTGGCTTACATATTTTCAAAACTGTTTTGTAGATTTTGATTGCACTGTAGCTGCATTTGATTGGATTGCATATTCTGTACTAACTTAGGATCATTAACAAACAGAAAATTTACCAATATTTTACATTTAGTATAAGTCAGCTGAGTGAAAATATAATGAATTATTGAGATGAGAAAATAGGTACAGATAATTCTTTTATGTGAGATGTATGCTTTTCACAACATTAGATAAGTATGAACAAATGACAAGAATACTTTTACAAATGTAGCTAGAGCAGAATGTTCATGAGTGCAAGAAGTTTTTTGTTTCAGATTTTTGAAAAAGTGTTTACCAGTAGCTATTGTCTGTAATATTACTCGTGTTAGCAGGTTTTTTAATGTTTGATAATTGAAATAAGTAACATTACCTTTTCAGGGAGTGTATTAAGCTAACTCAAGATGACATTATGAATCTTAGGACTTCAGCAGACAGCTTTTCAACTAACACTCAGGTATGTGAACAGCCTCAAACAACAACAGATATAATCTTTTGTTCATTCCCCTGTACATTTACATTCTGATTTATCAAAGTTTAGCTAATAGAAACTTTAGGTGAGTATAAAATATATTATGCTGTACTGAAAAATAAAAAAATTAAAAGATAACACAAAGTATATCGGCTTTGTACTTACAGATGTGACGGGATCAACAGAAATTAATATTATCGTGTACTTTGGGCCAATATCTTAATTGTTACCTTTACTGCTATGAACTAGCAATTAAACTTCATGGTTTGTTACAGAAATAGGAATAGACCAAATTTTGTACTCTTATTGAACTAGCATAGCAGTTCCTAAAGTGAACACAACGATATAATGATGTTATATTTCCCCAAGTATTCAATGCAAATAACCACTGGTGCCCACAAAAATATTTTGAAGGGGGGACATGTATGTAGGGGATCACAGTGTAAATCAACAGACTAAAAGAATATGTGATATGTGTGCTTAAACGCAAACACAAATTTACAGTTTTAGTAAAAATTACCAAAAATATTTAGCTACACTGTCAAGTTTACATCATAATATGTGGCCAAATGCCCCCTTTTGCCCCTTCCTGGATCACAGTGTAAATCAACAGACTAAAAGAATATGTGATATGTGTGCTTAAACGCAAACACAAATTTACAGTTTTAGTAAAAATTACCAAAAGTATTTAGCTACGATGTCAGGTTTACATCATAATATGTGGCCAAATGCCCCCTTTTGCCCCTTCCTGCAGGCACCCATGCAGATAATCTAGTGCTGTGGTTCTTAACTCTGTTTATGTCAGTGCCCCTTTTTTTTAAGCAAAGTAGGATAAGCTTCTGCAGATAGAGCCATGTAATTAAGTATTGGGATCTGTGGGATTGTTTGAGTTGTGAAGGGGTCCACGAGGAAACAGATAGTCACATAATTAAGTATTGGGATCTGTGGGATTGTTTGAGTTGTGAAGGGGTCCACGAGGAAACAGATAGTCACATAATTAAGTATTGGGATCTGTGGGATTGTTTCTGAGGGAAAAAATGTTGATAAGCACTCGTGTTTCTAAACTAAGCCAATTGTAATTATGTGCATTTAAATAGACTGAGCTAAGTCTTCAGTGACTCATCGACAGTATCTGAATCACTAACTTTTTTTAACTTTAATAAATTTCTCAAAAACAACTACGACCTAACATATCTCTTAACTTCTACAAGTAAACTACCAACACATTTACTTCAGATTTGATAAAAGTTTACAGGGTAAATTTTATGGCCTAGCAAGTGATGTTTTCAATAATAATAAATAAATAAATAAAAAAGCCAAAACATTTTTACAAATAAACAGAAATCAAACAACTGACACCAATTGACCAAATTTAATACACATAGTTACAAAATTGTCTAAAGAAATATTAACATAAATTTAAATATTTTAGATACTGTACTTAAAATATCTATTATGTATTTTTAAACTTGAACTATGTTACAAGAAACTCGTAAACTCTAGAATAAATAGTTAGCACAGTGATTTTTGTACCTGTTTTTAGGGATTAGATCTCTGCATTTCTTGCTGTCATGTTTGTGGTAAAACTTTAAGAAATATATATATATTTATAAACTTAATGTTTTTAGCTGATGCTTGCAGCTCCATGCTGAGTTGGCCCCTTAGTGGCTTGGAAATAAGTTTGAGGGCTTATGATGCTAATAATTGGATTTTGATACCCACAGTGGGCAGAGCACAGATAGCCCATTATGTAGCTTTGTGCTTAACAACAAATAAATAGATCGTGCTGAGTTATTCTTTTGAATCAATATGGAACCTGAAATATGTCATATAAGAAGTGAAGAAGTGATAAAAGTCCACAAGAAACAGTGTAATCATGTTAAATGCAATGCTTAAACCCACTGCAAAAGAACTTGTAAATAATCACACATTGTTACAACTTAATATTAAATATGAGTAATGAAGATTAACACACTAAATTGTACTGGGTGGAACCTGTCATTTTGAAACACAAAGTTGAAAGCTATTGTTAAGAATTAAACTGGATGTCTTTGAGCTAGATTTTGTGGCATTCAGTTTGAAATTCCATGAATTATAATTTTAGCATGGTCGACCTATTGTGATACAGTCTTCTTTCATAAGTTGTTACTATAGTTTTCTCCCATTGAGACTGTAGTTGACTGACCCACTCCTTAAGAAATAGGACTAACTTGTTGGCTTGCCAGTTATTCCAAGTAAAAATAAATAATTGGTGTTGAAATGAATATGTAACTTTGTGTTATTGATTTTTACTCTAATTCTGATTTGTTAATGACTTGGGTAAACTTCCACTTCACCAACTTAATCTACTTCATGCCATAACAGTTGTCGTTACGCCAATGCAGTTGTCATTACGACAATGCAGTTGACATTACGACAATGCAGTTGTCGTTACGCCAATGCAGTTTGAGAGTATAAATAGTTTACTTACTGTTAAGACTTATTGTTTCCCTTGTTACCTCCTAATACACATTTTTCTATTTATTTTATGTTTTAATGCAGTTTTTTTTATAACTTGATTCATTCACAACACAATAGTTCTCAATAATCAGTTATTCTTCAATCTCATCTTCAATAAATAAAGTGTCAACTTCACAGTACATCATTCCTCTTTCATTTCACCTCCAACAAAATCAACACACTCGTCCTTCCACGTACTAGGTTCTTCAATTTTCAGTTTTGTGTTGATCTGATCTTTACGAACTGAGTTCATCCTTGAACTAAACATTATTTGTAATAATTATCCGGTTAAAAAGATCGTTGATGAACATATAGTAAGATAATATTGCAACTTAACTTTGGTTTATAGTAAAAGAAAATTTGAACTTAGATTGAACAAGAATAGTAAACTGTGTCTTAAGATAATTAGTAATGTGTCAATACTGTGTGATTTAAATTATTTCTTTTGATAGATGTCATTGCTTATGCATATCTTTATTGTCTGCTATCATCAACATATACTACTTTATAAAGTATTGTTCACTTTTAATGGTATTCGTTACAATTTCTAGAGTATATTATTCATTTATTATGTATGTTACATATATTTAGGCATCATTTATTCATTGCACTGTGCTGTGTATAACAGGTATTCAGTCTATTGTAGTGTATACCAGACATTTATTACATCATGTTCCAGGCATTAATTCCATTATGTAGTGTATATGGGTATTCACTACATGTTGTTGTATATACCAGGTATTCACTACATGATGCTGTATG